CCCGCCCCCGTCCACGCTCCGGGCCTGGGGGAGGGGGCGCCGGCGCGCGGTCGCGGCCATCCCCCTGCCGGGGCTGGCGAGGTGCTGTTATTCCCTCAGGCCGTTCGTTGGCTGGCCCGCCGCTGCCTCCTGCAGGCCGTGGACCGGGTTCAGATGTGAGTTAGCCTTGCTGCCGTCGACCCTCGGCGGGGTGGCGGGGGCGGGGGGACCCTGGAGAAAGGTCTTGATTGGTGTGGGAGCCGGAGCTCCACGGCCCAGTTTTGAACGCCGCGGATCCACCCCTCCTCGCATAAGAAAATTATTTTCATTCAAATTTAGGATGGCGTTTCCAAGACGTAATTATGCAAAGCAAGACTAGGAACTAGATCGCCCTGGCTTTCAGAAAGTACTGGAACGCTGGGATACTTGGAGAGGCTCTGGGATTACCGAACAAGCGGCCGCGCGTATTTTTTTTTTTAAATGCATTTTTTTGAGACTTCAAAAAATTGAAAATGGAAACCGAGTCTCTTGCTTCGGTGCTAAAGCTATTTTGCCCAGCAGTAGGAATGCAGGTTAAGTTGTTACTGAACCTCGGCTCACTAATTCTTTTGATAACATACGGTCAATTTTGAAATCGATTTCGGGATTATTGGCCGGTTATTTAGTTTATGTGTTGATCGTCGTGACGTTGATTGTTTTCACTGGCGTAAAACCGAGGAGTGTGGCAGGTGGCTGGGTTAGCCACCAGGTGTAGGAGGAGACAGGTGTTTTTTAGCCCTAGTTGGGCTGCCCTGCCCACTGAGCACGGTCGGTTCGAGCAGCCACTCGCCGGCCAGACCCAGGCAGACTAGAACAGAACAAAGCCGGGCACTGTGGGTGGCTTCTTCCTTCCAGTTAAATGTGTTCTTGATTGTGTGTTATCGGACCCGAGGATCTTCATGTTGAGGCCGTGGTAGAGATAGCTGTGGACCGCCAGGAATGAAATGGCTGGTTCTACTTTCGTATTTGGCACACCGGTTGAGATTCAACAGAGAAGTTCTATACTTAGAGGCTCTGGAGCCTTTGAAAACCCCTGAACGCAGAGTGCAGTTAAGTGGATAGCAGGGTGCCTGGGGCTTTGTTTCTCGTCTTGCCGTATGCTGGTTCCCGTCACTTGGCATTGTGAATCTTGGTTCATTGACTGGACTGTATCCTGCACTGGGCACAGAATAGCAGTGCATTCCCAGGCTCAGGGGCTGGCTTTTAGAAGAGGTTTGGTTGGTGCTGGTTGAATGAACGTAGAAAGCGGCAAGCAGATTGTCCTTGTAGGTCACTGGGAGCCGGTGGATCTTCCTTAAATTTTCTTGTATGGCATGCCATGGATGGATAATCTTGGTGCTGCCACAGGTCAGAGGTGGTCAGAGGTTAAGTTAGGCCAATGAACATCACCATGGACATTTTGTAGTGTTTTAAGTATTAATATTCAACTTAAATATAGCATGAATCACTGTGTGAACAGCTATTCTCTTTTGTATTGTGTGCATAATATACATCAGACCCGGAACATTGAATGGAATCATTCTTGCTGGGAGGTAGACTGGGCTGCTGCCTCCCTTGGGTGCATACCAGCCTGTTGTCAAGTTCTTAAGTCTAAGTTAAGTCTTGGCGTCTTTTAATTTAAACCCTTTGTACTGACTGCGGGGACTGTCACTTTGTGTGTGTGTTCGGGAGTAGTGGTTCTCGGATGTGTACCTGCTCTTTTCGGTTGGTAGGCAGTGTTGTAGGAGTTTATTTGGAGCTTTGCTTTGGCTGTCTCTGCCTACCTTCATTGCTAAGTCAGTTAATACTTTTGGCTTAGATGCAGGGTCTTTGGCCCCATCGCTTGCCTTCATGGTGAAATAGCTCATAGGTTTGTAGTCAGGGCTGAAGTTGCCTGAATTCTATAAAAATTATGTTTCGGTAAACATGGGAAGAGCTTGAAGATACAGTGTGGAGTGATAACTCTCTGGTGATGTCTTGATGATAATAGTTTTTGTTGTCTGGGGACAGTCTCATACAGGTAGCTCAGGCCTTGAACTTTGCATTGTATGCTACCACAGTTGGTTCAGGAGGTTCTGGGACTTGAACCCAGGGCTTTGTGCATACTAGGTAACTACTCTACCAACTGAGCTATATCACAAACCTCTTGTAATAAAGTATTTGAATACATTTTCTTATTCACTTTGTTAACAGCTAACCAATTTTGGGATCTACCTCCCCTACCATTACCATAAGTGAATGTGTGCACTTGTGTGCATATAAACAGAGAAATGAGTCAGGTGTCATCCTCTGTTCCCTTATATCATATTCTTTTGGGACAGGGTCTCTCCCTGGAGGTCATGTATTTAGTTACACTGGTGAGCCAGCAAGTCTGTCTCCACTTGTCCCCCAGTGCTAGGCTAATAGGTGTGTGAGAGACCAGTGGTGCTGGAATCTGAACCCCGGTCTTCATGGTTGTACAGCAAGTTTTTTGTTTGTTGTTTGTTTTTTTAAGCTACGGAGCCATTTCTCCAGCCCCAGCAGTATACTTCAATAACTAAACACTTGACACGTTTAGGTCCTATATTTTTCAAGATGAACATATGAGGGAAAAAAGTCACTCACTCTTGGGGACCACATGCAATCAGTAGGGATCCCCAACTGTTGGTAGCAACCTGTATGTAGTGGTGGGATGGCCAGAAGACTGCCCTGGCCATTTTAATCTGTTAGCTTCACCTTTGCCCCAGGTGTTTATTTATGGCAGGAAGCTTGAGTTGATGATCTCCTCACAATCTGGAAGGAGATAAGAGGAAAGAAAAAAAGAAAAGAAAAAAAAAAAAGAAGAAGACGAAGAAAGCCTGATTCTGAGGCAGGAGCACCAGTCCCAGTCTCAGCTAGCCTGGGATACACAGTGAGACCTTATCTCAAAACAAACAAACCAAGAATGTGTTAGGAGAGGAACCTTGTGATGTGACTTAGAGCAACATGAACACTTTTCTAATTTGATCATGGACTACGGTTGAGTCTTGTTTTAAACAACCTTTTACGTTTTTTTTTTTTTTTTTTTTTTTTTTTTTTTTTTGTGTACTGTACTTCTGAAGCCAGTGTTAATCCACCATGTGGGGTTCTAGGGAGCAAGCTCAGGTTGTCAAGCTTGCTGGTAAGGGTTTTGCTGACCATCTCACAGGCCTTGAGTCCGTTGCCCTGAAAGCCTTTGGGTATTAGCTTTCAGTGATGGTTACGTGTGGACTTAGATGTTAATGATGTTACTAAGAAATGGGGAAAGAAGGTGGATTCTAACTTGCATAGCCTGTCGGAACGATTGGTTATATTGTGAGCTCTTTCCACCTCCATTTTACCTCTGCACAAAGCCAAGGTAGTACTTGATTGCTAATTCTTGTAGAATTCTTTTCGGATTATTTGGGTCACAACTGAGCAAGGTGGTGTGGTGGGGGAGAACAGCTCTGGAAACAGGAGCTTTTAAAAATCTGTTTGTAGGGTGGCACTTTTTCTTACTCTTGGAGCTTAGAAGTGTGTGATTTGGTACTTACCTGTAGTGACACACACTTTGAATACGAACCGTCCGGTGTAGGTTTTGTCTCTTTGCTGGGTAGACACTGGGTTCCAGAAGAGCAGACCTGGTGGGGATTGGCAGCCAATGGATTCCTTTTCTCACCCAACCTTTATCCAGTTTCTTCAAAAGCCTTTACTTCTCTAGTAAATTTTATTAGCTATAACGAAACACTAAATTAAATATCACTTGACTATCTCATGTCATGTCTTCCCTTGCTTCTTGTACCAAATCCCTTAACTTCATGTATTGCTTAGTAATATGTGTATTGTCTCAACTCTTCATTTTTACCAACCAGAAGTATAGTTAAAGTGTTAAGTGGTGGTTTATAAATTCTTAGTTGTTTTCAAGTCTTATCTTCCCTGTTCTAAAATATGCAGTGATTGATTCCTGGTTTTCATCTTAGTTCTCAGAGTATTTGGTTTTTCCTCCCCAGATACTAGTACCCCACCTTCCTGTATTTTGATTAACTTCAGCTTTAGGCATTAAACCCCTTCACATAAGATGACTTATGTTACTTTGTGCACCGTGCTTCTTTGGGATTTCTCTGGAATCAGCTGTGGATTCCTCACAGGTGTTAGTCATTATTAGGGTAACTTGGTTGTCTTAACCTTTCTGGCATTCTGCTCTCTGTAGACATTGACCTAAAGGGAGCAGTAACATTGAGTCCATATCTTGGGACGGTAGTCCTTGAAGTTACAGCATAGTCTAGTGAGAAAGTAGGAGTTTCGGATTGGTGGTAAGTTGGGCTGACCCCTGTGGAGTGGGTGTATTGAGATAGCGTGTGTCAATTGCACATGCTTCTGAAGGGAGAAGAGGAGACCTCAGGTGGATGGACCGGGAATGCTAGCAGGGAGCAGAGGCGTTTGCAGAGACGTGTTACTTCAGTGCATTGGGGTACTTTTCAAGGGTTGGAGTATTCTCGAATTATTTTTGGAGCAGTAGTTAGTTGAAATATCAGTAACATTTAGTGGGAACCTAAAGAGACAAGAGTTGTGAAGTTTAAGAAACATGATTAAAGAGCAGTATTTCAACGAGAAGACTCTAGAGTGAAGAACTATTGGATCTGAGTGGTTACATTAGTCTTCTTTATTAAAGAAGAGGAGTTACAGGTGGGAAAAGTGTCCTTCAGAAGTGCCAAGATTGGTCCAGGAAGAGAAGGTAGGTGTGTGGTGCTACCAAGTAGCTTCTTTAGTGGCCGGTTGAATCTTTGCTTTTACCTATGTCTGAAATGTAATGGAAGCAAGAGTTGATACGAGAATATTTACTTAAATACTTGTTTTTAAAATTTTTTTTTTTTTTTCTTTTTTGGAAACTGGGACTTATGCAGTACAGACTGGCCTTAGACTCCTGATTTTCCTTCTTCACCTCCCATGTGCTCCACCATGCCTTTTTTTTTTTTTTTTAAATAAAAAGTTAACAAAATTTTAAACAAAAAGTTCATTGATAAGGATGGAAACAAACAGAATTGTCTGATGATTTGATTACATGATTTTTGAGCTGTCACCACTATACAGGTGGTTAATATGAATTTGAGCCTTGGGTTGGAGCTCCTTGACATTTGTTACGATATTTTCCCCAGGGGTTGAGTGTGTAAACTTGGGTGCTTCTATTAGGAGTGACTGTAAGTCAAGACTGTCTGGGCTTTGTGAAGCTTCTGTGGAAATAAACTTTTAAAGTGATGGCGCTGGCCTTTATTTTCCTTTTTAAACATACCAAAACATCTATCTACATAGTAAGTTTCCTTAAAATCTCTTGCCCTTGTTTTCAGTGAATAAGAGGCACCTATTTGACATTATAGCCAGAGCATCCAGTTAAATATAAAGGATGGCTTAAAAGAGAGAAACTCAATTTACAATGTATATTGGACAAATGCTTATTAGGAAGGATTGATTTTTCAGTTATAGGATTTTCTAATGGCTCATGGCTTACCTAGTTCAAAGTAGCCTACCTAGCCAGCGTGACCTGAAAGGTAGAACCTCGGAATTTGAGGTTTCAGTATGCTCTGTCCACTGGCCTAGTCCATCAGGTGGTACAGATGCCTGCTACTTAGTCTCTTCTAAGTCTGTGCCTTGGTGTCTGTAAAAGCTGTGCTTGCTACTGTAGTCTCTTGATTGAGCACCTTCTTTGGGCAGGCATTGTGCTAAGAGCTTTACACTAATTATGTCTAAAGAGTCACAACAATCCTGCTAGGCAGAGATAATAGCCCTGTTTTCTATGTGAGAATACTGAAGCTAAGAGGTTTCTGGAAGGGCAGGCAATTCCCCATGGTAATAGCCACTCTCCATTGCCCTTGCCTTCCTGGCCGCACTGCCCAAGGATTCACAATTCATATGCATTTATTTGACATCCCTAAATCAACTTTAGGAATCTGTTTTTACTTGACTCGATAGAATAAAGAAACTCCTTAATGCCGGCATTTATGAGTAATCGAAATAGTGCACCTGCTGTGGAGCCTTGGGTTTCTCTAAAGCATTTCTGTGTGCAAGGCTGATTGAGCCAGGGAGAGAGAGCCAGCTGGGAAAGCAGTGGAGTTGAAGAGGCCCACCATGCCTGCTGGGTACCTGCTCTGGAATGAGTTGAACATCGTTCAGCTCATGTTCTCTGCCTACCTACCCCTTGGCTGAGACTGGGTCAGATGACAGCTATTTTTCAAGAAATGGGACTCTAAATTCAAACATGGAAGGTGGTTCTGTGTCGGTATTGGGAAGGAGGAAATGGTTGCTGGACTGCTCTGAGTAGCCACTGCGCTGCCACCTTGAAGGATTCCTTTTGTGAATCTTTCTTTTGTGAATAATTGTGACTGTTGCTGACTTGAGGGTGTATGCTCTCTCCCTCGTTTTGTAGGACTGCACTTGCAGGAGGAGTATGAGCGTGCCCGCACTGGATGGAGTGCCCAGCCTTTCCTGTGTTCAGAGTCTTTGTTCTATCACAGTGGTGCACAGCTGAAACCTCAATCAAACCAGTAGAGCGCGTGAATTGTTTCTAAACAGGTTTGTCCTTTAACTTGTAATTTTTCACTGTATCGTTTGACTTGCTCAGTGCCTACATATGCAGATAAGGTCCCTGTGATGGAATTCTACTCTATGTAATAGAATAAGTGAATGACCTAAGAACCTTTCATTAAAGAGAAATATATTCAGAACTATGAATACACTTCAAATGTATTAGCATATGTTAGTTGTGCAGAACAACTGATTTCAGTGTGGCATTTTTTTCTTGCATCCTTTTGGTACCTAGTTGACTCAGTTGTTTCTTTGGAGAGCCACCTGCCTGCTTGGCTAGTTCCAGTAGTGGATGAGGGTATGTTAGACCACACCTACCTAGAAGTTGAGAGGCCAGGCTGCAGGCCGAGGGCTCCAGCTAGACTAGATGCCAGGGTTGAGAGTCACAGGACAAGGGGAAGTGTTGTTCTTGTCTGAAAGTAGCTTGTAGTGTTGTTGGGGAATGAACTAGTCATCTTAGATATAAAGCAGAGTTCTCTAAACTGAGCATCGAGGATCAGGAGTGGGATTCAGTTTAGGAGATTGAAAGTGAGAAGCAAAACAAATATCTTGGAGAGTGTACTGTGTTTATATTTTTAATGTGCAAATGTTTATTTGAGGGAGTTTTTTTATATTTCAAAAAAACATTTGTGTGTGTGCTTGTATAGAATTTTTTCCTGGACTCTTAACCTTCCTAGTGTCGATGTGAGTAGTTTTGTTGCTGTCCGTTGTTAAAGTCACAAATTAGCAATTCTAATTCATCTTAATAAAATTGTGAAATAATTAAAATAATTTTATCCTGTATATTGAAAGACACTAACCTGCGTAACAGTTTTGTCAACTTGATACAACCAGCCTGGTCAAAGCATCTCCATGAAGGATTATCTGCGTCAGGTTGGCCTGTACAGGGGCATGTCTGGGGGGATTGTCTCGGTTGCTTTAATTGATGTACTAAGACCCAACCTGGAAGTGGGCTGCACATTCCCTGGTTTGGGGCCCTGAACTGTAAGAGTGATACAAGTTGCCTTGTGATAACTTCTCAGTGAAACTATCTAATATTTTCTCAATTTCCACTGCTTATATTTTCATAACTAAATGTTGTTCAGAACTACGCATGTGCAGTGATTTTACTTTGTACTACACATTATTTTTCCTTTGGTGTGAACAGTGTATGCTGGCTTTAATTCTGGGCACCAGTCATGACTAGGCTCACATTATCCGACTGGCGATGCAGTGTCTGCCTAGTCCTGAGTATGGGTCATCCCTCCTCTGTTGGCTCACTTGTCCCAATTCTTGACTCATTTTCCCTCTACTTTTTGGAATTGTTACTTTTGAGAAGTCAACTCTTTTTTTTTTTTTTAATGAAAAAAACCTTTTTGTGTTTCTCTTTTCTCCTTCTGATTCTTTCTCCCTCTTCTTCCTTCATCCCTTTTTAAAGTGTGTCTCTTAACTTTATTATTGAAGTGCCTTGGTTTATGACTTGGTGTCTGTGTCCTCAGACCAGACAGGGCTAGGAACTAACACCTGGGAAATACCTGCCTTACTCATGGCCTTGTTTTGTTCTCACACATGAACAGGAAGCAGATATGTCGCCAGAGTCTGAGGCCAGAGGCATGAAAACACCAGAGAATCCAGGTGCCTGTTAGTTCCCGAGGCTTCTCCCTACATGGAGAATCATCTGTTCCTGTCCTCATGAAGTTGAGGAGGTGGCTAGCTGGCCCTGGGTTCTGCTCCTTTGATTGGGAACATGTAGCCCTGTCTACATGGGATTCCTGAGGCAGTTGGCATTTTTCTATTATGATTGCCTTTGGTGGAACCCTCAGTGGTGTGGGTATCACTTCATCCTTTGAGTCGGGGGTTCTGTGGAGACTTTGCATTTTCAAGGACCTTGACAGTTTCAGTGTATTGTTACTGTTGTTGAGATGAGGACTTGGTGATGTGTGTATGGGGGGGAGGCGCTCTCACTGTGTTCAAGACCACAGGGCTTCAGGGATCTTCCTGCGAGCAGCTGGGGCTGCAGGAGCGCACCACCACACCCAGCTGGCCTCAGCACTTTGAGAGAACGAGGCCGCATTTTGTAGGACGCTTCACTGTGAGAATTTACGTACAGTTTTCTTATGCTAAGACTAGGTTATGACTCTTCCTCTTAATGGAGGGTAGATTACTATAATTTGACTCAATGATGGCCATAGCCTTGATCACCAGGCTGAGGTTGTGGTTATCAGATTTTTCCCCACTGAAAATCTAATCTGTGTTTTTTATAAGATTTATTTTATTTTATTTTATTTTATGTGTATGTGTGTTTTGTCTGCATGTGTGTGTGTGTACATCACGTGTGTGCTTGGTGCCTGTGAAGGTCAGAAGAGGGTGTTGGATTCCCTGGAACTGGAGTTAGGAGTGATTGTGAGAGATACCATGTGGGTTCTGAGAACTGAACTTGGGTCCTTTGCAAGAACAACAAGTTGTCTTAACTTCTGAGAGCCAGCTCTCCAGCCGCTGTCTGTCTGTCTGTCTGACATTAATTTATTTACTTAGGAGGATGCATCTCAGTGAGTGGGTGTAGGTCAAAGGACAACTTCCTAGGATTGGTTCTTTTCTGACAATCGTTAGGGACGGGTCTCTTGTTTTTGTTGCTGTGCTGGATATCAGCCTCCCCCATCTCAGTTCCCTTACCTCTACCTTCTGTCTCCCGTGGGAGTGTTACTCCAGGCCGTCCTCTTGGCCCCTAGTCTGTGTTCTTTAGAAATTACCCTCCCAGCCTGCATCTGAAGGGTGGGGAGTTACTCATTCCATATGTGTTTATAATTTTACATGAGAAATAAGCATCTCACCCCAGTTGATTAGTTCAAGTTATATGCTTACATTGGAAAAGACTCATACATAGTCCCTAATGCTGTGGGTTATGATCTCATACTATGTGTGTGTAGTTATGAGGACTAAGTAACCGAGTGTGGGCCTGGGTAGCTTGAGCTACCCAATGGAAATGCGTTGTCTTTTTATAATTTTTTTTTTAATTTTATGTGTATGTATGTTTTGTCTGCATGTATGTGCGTGCACTATGTGTGTGCTTGGTGCCTGTGGAAGTCAGAAGAGGGTGTTGGATTCCCTGGCAGTATAGTATCATTTTATCTGGATTATCCATGAAAGTCTTTTTATTGAGTTACGGTCACATTCTGAAGAACTAGAACTTAGAGCTTAGATTTCCTGTTTTGGGGGGCACATTCAACCCCTAATAGGATCAGGAAAGGGTAGATATGCTGTTGTGTGGGCTTAGCAGAGTGTCTAGTTACAGTAATATTTTAAAAGGTGCTTTTAGGCACTGTCTATAATCTTCAAAGAAGATCAGAAAGAAAGCCCTTAGGAAATAATTCTCAGATTATAACTGAAGATTTTGTTCAGTCTTGTGTAACTGCTAACATTTCTGCTGATTCTCAGATATTTAACAGCTGAGCAGTAGAGTCACCTCATTCTTCATTCTTGCTTTCTTTCTGAAGTAATTCAAAGGTTGGCCAAAGTGAGGAACACAGCATCAGAGCCTAGTGCAACAGAATTAATCTTGTCTCTTTTACAAGATAGTCATGTGACCATAGTCAGCTCATCCCTGTGCTTCCCTTGGGTCTTTATATTGTATTTTCAGGTGGCAACCCTCCCGGAGTTCTGCTTTAAAAATACCCTGCCATACATTTTCTTATTGTGGTCTTTCCTCAAGTAGCCTCCTCCCTCCCTCTTTCTTTCCTCTCTCCCTCTCTCCCTCCCTCTTCCCGTCTTCCCACTCTCCCTGTCTCCCTCGCCCATTTCCCTTTTTCTAGCTGTCCTAGCATAAGACTTGTTCTTGTTGCCCTCCCTTCTGTTAGCATAAAAGCACAGTGCGTGCAGGTGGCTTGTCATCCAGGTTCACTGTCTGATCCCAGCCTGCAGAAAAGTGTGTGTGGAACCAGTCAGGGAACCAGTCGAAGGCCTTTAAGTTGCTACATCCCTGGTGCTTTACTGACTTGGGTTGCTCTTGGCCCTGCTGCTCCCTTGTTGAAGTCACTCGGTGTGAGGACCCACCGTTGACAACCCGCTCTTAGAGCTGCATCTGGAGTGAGGAGGGGTAGCAGACTTTCCTCTTGGAAGCTGGGGGATAGCTTCTGAGATCCAAAGGCAGAAGAAGTTAGAGATATTTGGAGAAAGGAAATGAGTGCGTGTCAAGGGGACAGAGTTTTGGTTGCTTCTGTGCTAGCAGCTAAGCAAACTGGTGACTCGGTGCCTATTTGTGCCTAAAAATGACTGTGCTTCTAACAATCCCTGAAGGTCTTCTCCCCCTCCAGGAGTCATTAAGTGATGGCTGATGCCATGTGTGAAGCCACCTTTTTACTAGAGCTACACATGTCTGGATTTTATCATGGCAAACTTCAGGGTGACTGGTACAGTGGCTAGGCATTAGGATGCTGTCTCAAAGGGGAGTGCTATAGCTTTGACCTCACTAGTGTTCCTTTGCATTTGAGTAAGGTCTTGGAGAAATACAAGCCTCCAAAAATGAAGTGTACACACTTATAAAGTATTGTCAATGACACCTGCTGTTGAAAAGCTTTTGGAGTTTGTAGCAGGTACAGAGACGTTGGTGGCTGAGGGAAGGTCTTTAGAGAACCAAGTAATACTTGGTGGGGGGGGGTATTGTTCTGTTTGGGGATATATGTATAAATATGTATGTGGGGGAGCGTACACTGTCCTAGGATGTAAGAAAATATCAGTTCTTTCTGCACCTTCTCTACCTGTTGAAATGGGGTATTGATAGCCGTTGCAGATAACATGTAATACTATTAATCTAAACCTTACCTGTGTATCAAATTACTTCAGGTTTTTAGTATTACCCTTTATTTTACACGTGGTAGAAGGAAACTGTCGGTACTATTAATAAAAATGTAATTGTGAAGGAGGAGGATTAAAAACAGCCAAACACACAACGACTGTTATGGTTTTCGTGTGTGTGTGTGTGTGTGTGTGTGTGTGTGTGTGTGTGTGTGTGT